GGGAAGGAGAGGCAGCCCCTGTGCTGGAGGACAGTCCTTGTCACATCAGGGAGACACTGGGCCCTCGGCACCCAGGGAATGGGAACTGACTTTGATAAGAACATTAGTGCATTAAATGAAAAAAATTTCCTTTTCCTGGGAGTCCTCTCAGGGCAGCTGATCCATCCCTGACATCAGCACATAAGCAGAGAGCTGAGAATTTTGCCTGACGTCCTTGGGGAGGGAGACGGTCTGGTTTTATCGAATCTAGGATTTAGAAAATTAGTAGTTTTGTTTCTTTTATTTAGCAAATTTTTTTAAGGTGTCTACAGGGAACTTTGGCTTCCTTTGTCACTATATCAGAGCTTGCCTTTCTGCTTATTAAGCAGCAATTCTGCTCATCTTGAGAGTTTGAAATACTCAAGATAAAATTGGGGGCAAGAGGAAAATAATAGGATTTCACTAACCTGCATGCTAATTTTATTCTGCAAGGAAAATGGGGAAGCAAAAATCCCAGGGAACATACAAAGGCAGCTGGCCTAGCTGGGTTATGTGCTCGACCTTTTCAGTTGTACTAAAAGATCACAGCTGCTTAAACAAAACCCCCACACAAAGAGGGGCAGCAGAACTGAGGTAGGGCTAGATAGAAGATCTTCCTGTAGGGAGAAGCTTTTGGAGGGGGAGAAGAGGGGCAACACAGAACACTGAATTCACAGGGAAAGTCTCTTACCTCCCAGTCTTCTATCGAACTCTGCCACTGAGCGATTTTGTCAATGTTCTCCAGCCGCCGCTTTCTTTCATTGATGAGCCGAGCAACGTTCTTCATGGCATTTAAGGCAGCTTCAACATCTTTAAAATCCCTAGGGTAGGGCAGAGGTGTTAGGCATGACAAAAATGACATGCTGTTATTGTACCTCCACACCAAAGAAGTGCAGTGTAGCATGGCCTAGGGCTGGAGAGCTGAAAACATGTGTTCCACTTGCAGTTCTACCACAGCTGTTTTATACTGGAAATTGGAGGTATATGTTTCTGTGTGCAACTTTTCAGACACGTGCTGGTTTTGAGGCACAGGTTATATAGTCTTGTAACAAATCCAGGCCCAGTTTGTGGAAGGGGAGGGGTAAGCAATCAAATTCAGCCACAGAGGTGTAAATATGAGTTGCTGGAAAAATCTCCAGGGGTTTCCAAGCCTTGTTTTTTGGTTTTCTTTTTCTTTTTTTTTTTTTTTTGCAACAATATACTCATAATGCCACTGTTTTTGTAGAGGGACTGATTCTGTCATGCATAGGTAAGGCAGTTCAGCAATAACTGGCTTAATTTTAAACAGGAGCCAATGGTTTATCTGGAAGGGTAGGAGAGAAGCTGCTCTACCCTCCCCCCCACACCATCTGCTGCTACCGGCTACTTCTGCTGAGTTTAGAGTAGCTGGGAAGGAGCTGTTCTGCACAACTTGTCTCTAACACAATTTTCAGAACATCTGTGTACTCCATTATGGAGCTTTCTGTTAAGAGATCAGCTTCAGAACAACATGCTTATAGATTTAATAAGACACGCTTAACAACATTCTTGAGAAATACCAGTGCTGTAATTAGGAAGGTAAAATTAAGTCAAGCCACAATGGACCAGTATCAACACTTTCCTTTAATACAGATTTTTCATGTTTTATTTCTGTAGCTAATTATTTCAGATGCTTGATTAAATGACAGAGTTATTTGAGCCAAGGGCAGTGCCTTCACCCTGAAACCGAGCAATGGATTTGGGGGCTTTTGAGCTAGTGCTGGGGCACCGAGTGTGTGTGGCTTGACTGCTGTAGGCCACGACTTCCCACTAGGGAAGAAGCATTGGGCAAAATTAATGACTACCACTCAGCCCTGATGTGCTCTGGTGTAGTTACATGGACATTTTGGGATATATTCAACCAGTGCTTTTGGAGGCAAAGTTTTCAACAGCACCACTGGAAACATTTAACTCCAAAGTACGTATGTGCTGGTATCACAGATAAGTGGGACAAATAAAATAAAAAAGTACCATTATAAGGTGGACCTTGCAACTCCAGAGCTCTAACAGACAGGAAAGTCTAGTGCTACTGTAATGGAAAATTATGTATTTGATAGAAAAATACTATTTTTTTTCCTGGTTTCTACAAGGTAACCCAGAAGAATCGTGGTCTTGGCTGCTCTTGGCAAGCTGCCCTCAATGCATCATTCTGCATTAGTCCACTTCTATGAGATAGGTCTCACTCCCTTCCCTCCCCACCATGCTGACCTACCTGTGTTGGGGGTTGGTGTATTTGAGCAGTTCAGCCAGTTGCAGTGGATATTTGCAGATTTTCTGCACAGGAGTCAGCAGAAACCCGTCCAGAGAGATGTCGATCATCTTCTGCAGCAGGCGGCAGGCTTCGAAGAAGTAGACGTACTTGTTAACTTTGGTGAGGCGGGACAGCTCCATGCAGGCATTGGGGTGGTTGTTGCAGTATTCAGAGTATATCTGAAACTCTGTTTGCTGCAAGGGAAATAAAGGGATTTACTGTCCATGTTCTTCAGGGTTATGGCCTGGGTCAAACTGCTGTGTGTGAGTTCCCTGTGTAGATCCCAGATTTTGAAGCCCAGAGACCTACAGCTGGGCATGGGTAGGGTATACTACAAGGTGCAGCTTCTCTGAGAGACTGAGACATTTCCTTGTATTCTGACCTGTGCTTAGCTGAATGTTTTTTATGACCAAATGAGCGGTTGTTGATCCTGCACTGACCTGAAAATACCACAGCTGCAAACTCAGGTCCAGCTCAAGAGTTTGGAATCTTCATACGTTTTTGCCTAAAGTAGCATGATCTGGCAGGGAGTATAGTGCTCAGAAGCTGAGGCACTTTGAAAATGTTCTTTCCACAGCCACAGTAGGGTGTGTTTGGTTGGGAGGGGGCTAACCAGGTGGGGGGGGGGGGCATTTATTTTGTTGGTTGGTTGTTTTTTTTTTAAATAGAGCTTCTGTTTTGTCAGATCAATTTCTAAATCCCCTGGCTTAATCCATGCTTAGCTACCCCTTTCCCATGAAGTCAAATTTACTTACATATTCCAAGAAGCACGAGCCAACCTCACTCAGATGTGGGTGGTCTTTGTTGAATTTCTTCTCTAGTGCTTTAACAAATTTCTTCTGGCACCTGTAGATGTCCTCAATATTCCCAAAGATTGTCTTCAGCTGCTCTTCTGTAAACATGTCAGCTCTTTTGCGGCACTGCTTAATGTAACCCTAGGAGGAAACCAGATTGGAAGCTTCCTGGGCGTTTGCACTGTGGCCTTTGGTTATCGACAGAAAACTTCGTGGGCTGTAGTTAGTTGTACACCAGGTTCCTGTACCCTCTTCCTCCATAGGTGCATCCATGTTTTAGCTATTACTTCCTCTAATATCAATCACCCAAAACATGGTAGACATAGAAACCAAGCCACAGTTACATCACTACCTTAAGCAGTGCTGTAATCTACACTTGAAGGAGCCCCGGCGCTGCTTTCTCTCCTGTTAAAAACAGCAATGGGGGGTTCTGACCCCAGCACTGATCCACTGACAGATTTAGGCCAATTAAATCCAGTTGTGGATCTGGTTTGGGTGCTCAAGTTAGGAAATGCCTGGTTGACTCAAGGGAGAAGGAGCGCACAAAGGACGTGGGGGGACACTGCAGGAGGAAAGGGTTGTTTCTTAAGCGTGTGCTGCTTTGCCCCAGTTGGGTCTCCTAGCAGGCACTACATTTTTGTGTCATTTCAGTGAAGAACTACGTTCCTGCAAAACTCTTACCAATTACCTTCATTTACCCCAGTGTATATGACAGCGTGTCTCTTTTAGAAGAGGTGTTGCAATATTCAGCATATTTGCAAGTGAAAGACCTAATTGGCTGAACATCCCCCAGTTGTTTTGATCTGAGCAGGACTTGCCTGAAGGCTGGAGCTGCTGATTATATTATCTCAGAACATATATTAAAGAGGACAGCAACGCTAGACATTTACTTTTCTCTGGCTTGGGAAATTCAATTGATTCCATTCAATCAGAGCCCAAGTGGGTGCTCCAAATACAGTACAGAGGCATTTGGGATATTGCTGTAATGAATTGTCTTCTGTTTTATGAGCTTGCAACACCATTTAGCAGAGCAGGCTCTGATAAAAATACAGTGTCATTTTCCGAAAAGAAAAGTTACCTGCTTAGGGTCACTCTGGGCGAGAATGGGCCATACCCTATGATCCTTGAGACAAGTTCTTACATTCACTTCCCCCTTTATTCTGTTACCTCACAAATGTCCTTCAGATGCTTGATGTAGTCTCTCTCTGTGCTTATGATCTCATTGATGACGTTGGTCCTCATTTGGTCTTTGGTGGTCTGCCCCATCCCAAAGCGGCGGGTGCCACTGCTGGAGTCGTCCTCTTTTCCACCTTCTACCTTCAGGGGATAATCTTCCATGGGTTCATCCTGGTTTACTCGCAGCTGTACCAGACACACAAGTAGTTCACTGTTTGTATTGCTAAATGCAACTCTTCCAAGGAAAAGAAGTTTGGGACAGTTGACTGAGTGACAGACAAAGATTGAGTATCACAGAATCATAGAATGGTCAGGGTTGGAAGGGACCTCTGGAGATCATCTAGTCCAACCCCCCCGCCAGAGCAGGGTCACCTACAACAGGTTGCACAGGACAGCGTCCAGGCGGGTTTTGAATGTCTCCAGAGTGGGAGACTCCACCACCTCTCTGGGCAGCCTGT